AAAGAATATATACATTAAGTATAAGATATTGGGCACGCGACGGCCAATATCATGTTAATATTAATACTATTTTATCCACCGTTGCACTATCACTAACATTCATTCTATTATATCAATATCAAGTAATATGAATACTAACTGTGTCATTATTATTTAAAGAATTGCAGTAATTTCTACTCCAAATGAGCGACCTTGTCACAGCGGACTATAATTATAACGGATTTTTAAATTTTTGCATCCATTGTGGCAAGATCAGTAAATCTTGCCACAACGGGTTTTAAGTAAATTGATTGACCCACTACAATATAGTGATCGGCGGGGGGAAGTAACCTTTTGATTTTTTTTTTTTTTGTGTATACAAATAAAACAAATTCCAGAGAACATATTTATGTATTTTTTATTGTCTTTAATTATGTAAAAAAAATATTTTATGATGCGTTGATTTTTGGAGTTTTGTTATTGATTTTCTGTATAACATCTATGATTATCTCTAAAAAATTGCTTTTTGCTTGTATTTGTCCGAATCTTGAATGATGATAGTAATAATTTTCGCGAATATGTGTTTATGCTTTACTTTCAAAACTATCTATTATTATTGTTCATTCAGAATTAATTTTAAGTACAATTCATTAAACAATTCTCTATCTAGATCTTCCCTTATCCGGAAACTCTTGATGATGTTAATGTAGTCTCTTGTTCCAACTTAAAAATAATCTGGACCTTCCTTTTAAGAAAAATTCCAAGTTTCTTTTGAATGATTTTAAATTCTCTCTTTTAAATAGAAGTTTAGAATTAATGATGAATGTTAGAATCATTGTACTGATTATTTCCGATTTTTGTCACGCGTAACTTATTGTAAATCATTTCCGATTTATTTTCAAGTTTGATAAATAAATGACTTTATTCTTGGAGGTAAACATTATTTTTTCATTATATAGAAGTTTTTATATTAGAATTTAAAATTTAAAATGCATATCAATAAAAAATAAAGACGAAAAATTTTTTAACATGAAATTAAATATATAAAACTTTATGATTGTACATTAATAAAATTATGTCATTTATTTATTTAGTTTGATAAAAATCATATTACTTAATTAAATTATGAAATTCCCCCGTGTTTTTATATTTCTCTGGAATCATCAATTAAAACTTTTCAAAAAATAGGACTTTACGTAACTTTAGTTTTAAGATTATTTCTTACTTCCAAATTTAGATATGCTAGTCTAAATTTAGTAATGATTTAGTGGCCAAATTCCTCGTTAAAATACACGTACTAAAAAAAAGAATAGAACAAATAGAACACTACAACAAATAATTTTTTTGAAAAACTTCATTATTATATTAAAATTAAAGCCCTATTCTATCAACTAATAACGATATTTTTTTAAAAGGTAGGATAGAAAGTGACTTCTATACTTTTAAAATTTATGCAAAATTTAGGAGGTCTTTAGACCGAGCCAACTATATTATTATTATTATTATTATTATTATATGCCTCGTTTAAAGACATTTGCCGTAAATGATTGGGCTGGTAGCTACCATCTCCAAAATAGCTGTTTGTAGCTACTATTTGCCATAAATAATTACGGCTGCAAATAACTACAACTGCTGCAAATAGTTTTCAATTACTGTCATTAGTATTATTAGTCATATTCATGCGAAAATTTTCTTGAATTATTTGTGATCTGCAGTAATTGAATTTTTTTGAATGTGATTGATGAATTCAATTAGTCGGTCATTCATTTACAGTGAAATTGTGTGTAAAAATAAAAATTGCGACAGCCGTACCTGTTTTTGACAGCCGTATTTATTTGCAGCAATCATAATTATTTTTATAATGGTAGTTACCATTGCCGCAAATAACTAATTAAGGCGGTGTCTTTTAAATTTAATATGACATTAAAAAAAAATTTAGGAATTCGGTTTGATTCAAGTCGATTCGAATCGTTCAGAGCTTAGGCCAAAAACTACTTGGCAGTTCCTGGTATTCTAATTTTTGCACTCTGCTTATTTAGAACCAAACCTACTAATTTCTAATCTAATAATAATAACAACCAGTCCTATAAAAAATAACATACGGGAAAACCGTATTGTTTTACGGAATAGGTACGGAAAAATGTACGGAATCTTCCTGTTAAATGCGCCGAAATGTACGGAATTTGTACAGGATAGTTACTATTACGGAGTAGTTACGGAATGCACACGAAACACGTACAAATTCCGTACATTTCGGCGCATTTAACAGGGAGATTCCGTACATTTACCGTGTATTTCCCGTACCTATTCCGTAAAACAATACGGTTCATGTACTGTTTTCCCGTACATTTTCAGCCAATAATTTTTTATAGGGCAAGACTATTTTTCGTCCATAATATGTTAAAAGTGAAGTAAAATTAGATTTATCTAACCTCACTGGTTGATTACCTCAAGAATCGATACAATGGAAAGTCGGGGGAGCCAATTTTTACATACTCCAATCCATTAATCTGAAGATAGTTGTGCCATTTCCTTAATGAGGTAATTTATATATAAAGGAGTAGCATTGATTTAGTGACAACATATATTTTAATAATATTTCAGGTGGTTTATTGGGTTTACCTAATCACATGAGTATTATAACATAATAGATAAGCTTTCTGATGAAGGTTAGCATAAATTCACTATTTTCTCTTATAAATCAAATCCAATTTAATGTAGTAAACTTACATATATTTGGTTTTGTGTTTTAAAAAAGGATTATTTTTGGGTCATCCACAAAAAAGGATTTTATGGGTTGGGATATGTACACCAAAGTTGCATCCAGATTCTTAAGGAACCTGTAAATGATCTCTCCTAATATTGGTGGTATCTTCAATATTTCAAATGTTGAACCAGTATTAGGAGTGTTTAATGATTGGGTTTAAAATTTCATTTTTCAAAATTGATTTTTAAGGAACTGTAACATATTAGTATTAGTTAGTGATGGGTTGTCACTATTATACATATGTATATTGCAATGATACCATAGCAATATTTATAAAAATCTATAATAGCCAAACACCTGTTACTAAACTGTATACAATCAGGATGAGGATCTTACTGCTGAAATTTCCACTACAATACTATGATTTGGACAAAAGAAGAGGCCACAAACATAAGGTGAAAGAAGTTTCACGCCTAAGAAGTAAATAATATGAATAAGGTAACATAACTTCATCTTACATGGGAAGGATAAAAACATAAAAGGTTTATTTTACTAACTCTGCTAAATTTTCTCATTTTTACTTGTTGGGAGGACATGGCATGGCTTCTTTAAATTGGTTTCTTAAAAGTTAATTTATGCATACATGGTCACAGTATTTCATTACTGGGGTGATGCAATTTTATTTTATTGGTTGTAAATTCAAGAAACATATGTCAAATAACAACAAAATGCCTTCAAAGAAAAGATTGTTGAAAACACCTGCAATGTTATACAATTTCAGGTTGATTTGGGGCACATTTCAATGGTTTTTGGTTTTTAAGATATATATACATATTACACCAGTCTTTATTTAAGAAAAGTATATAATGTTTACTTTTGCTGTTATTATATATTGTGTTGGTTGGGATTCAACAGTGAATTGTATTTTTGTAACCCCCTAAATTTATATACAAGTTTTTTTTTAATTTAAAATCAATTTCACACAAAGAATCTATTATTTATATAAAATATAGATGGTATTACAGAATGATGACATGCTAATATATTCATTGATTAATACTGTACTGTAATGGTAATAGTTGTTTAGCATTTTAATTCTTTTTTATCTACCCATTATATTTAATTTTTGATATGATTTATAGTACAAAAAAAAACAAGGCGTGAAAACGGGTATGGTTTCTAAGCTAAAATCAATCCTTGTGGTGAATTACATCTAAAAATATTGTTAATATTAGCTCAAAATTACGATTTTGGTAGTTTTCCCCTTTTTCTATTGTCCGTGCCGGAAAAAACACATATGCCGAAGAAAAGCATATTAATATATAAACCATCACAAAAGTTTTAAGGGCGCTTGCTAATCTTTAGCAAAGAAAATTAAGAAACGTCATATTTCCTGTGTTACGAATTTTTGCAAAACTAAACAATAAATTCTTTTATTATTATTGAATCAATAGTCGATTTTATCAAAGTTTAGAAAATTAGATCATTCTTTTCTTGTGTTAGTAATGATAAAATAAAATATAATGCAATGTAATTAAATGTTGTAAATCTTATCGAAGTTTTTCAATAATTTGCCAGAATTGAGTATAAGCCTCTGGATCCTTATGTCTCGAACTTCTATGAATCTAAATTTTTAAAAAAAGTTTTTTTTTAATTATTCATAATGTAATGAATAAGCAGCTAAAACAATAACATAAAGTTTATCTAATGATTATACTACCACTAACATTAATAGTTTTGACATTTTTCCATTTTTCAATATTATTTTTTGTTTCTTCTTCTACAAATTTAAAGTAAATTCCAGGAACTATTTTTTTTAATAAAATCCTTCATTAATAAACTGACCATAAATTAAACATTTTTTTAAAGAAGAGTATCTTAATAACTATTACCATGAATGAAGGTAGCTTGTGGTGTTTGCCATTTATATTTTTTAAACTGCCATTCATTTCCGTCAGTTATTACGCAAATTACACGACCCCTACATAATATTTTAATAATTATAATTATAACCATCCTTTTTGTCAAAGCCATATTTATATAAAGAAATTTATAATATATAAAAAGATAAATAAGGAAATGTATATAACATAGAAAACAAACCAATCAGATTCTCCAAATTTAGCAGTATTGTCTGTAAGTTCATAATGCCTATTATTATATGTTATATGTAAAATTGATTCCTTACGTTTAACATTATTCTTAGCCTCATTTGAAGGAATAAACCTAAAAAAAAAAATTTTTGGATTTGAGAATAAGTATATAAATAAATATATAAATCATCTTTTTAAAATTTCTAAAAATTTACAACGCTCTACCTTACATCCTGAAGTAAATCTTTTACATTAAACATATTTATAAAAGAACTGGGAGCAGATGGAACAAGTATCAATGGGACCAATAAGTTTTTATCAAAGGATTTTTGCATAGAACGATTTGCTGCTCTAGGAATAGAATGTGAATTTCTATTGTCATGTAAACTTATATCGTGACTTTTTCCTTTTAAAAAGACTTCATCAGCCATTCTCAAAAATTTATCAACCTAGTTATTATACTAGATATAAGTATCTTATATCTTTAAACGTTCACCACACATATAAAAATAAAAACAAATAAAATAATATATATATACATACGTTACTTATTGCAGCAGATTCTTCATTAGCTACACCAGATTCTTCTTCCAAATCAATTATTTCGTCTTCCTCATAATATTCTGAATCGCTGTCAGAGGAAGAGTAAGAATACATCATATCATATGTAGCAGGTTTAAAAGTTTGGTCAAACCAATCCGAATCTTTCGATATGTTTTTTTGTTTTTTTCTTCTGTTAGATTTTTCTCCGTCATCAGTAATTCGACGTTTTTCTTTTAACATAAAATGATTAATTGATTAAACGATTATTATAAATATATATATTTATCAGAGTGAATTAATAATGAATATCTTTACCAGCATGTCTTGAATGAGATTCTCTACGCATATCTTTATCATTTAAAGAGGCAGAGTGACCATTTAAATAGTTTACCCATTTCTGACGGTCAATGTAAGTTAAACGACCTGAAAGTTGAATGCTGGATATGTCTTCATTGTACTTGTCAAATTGATATTTTTTAGTGATCAGGCCATGATAAAGGATATCAAGTTTATAATATTCTGCTGAGGCAAAATTCATAAAGGTTGTAGTCATATCTTTCGGAAAAACATTTTGATCAAATTGTATAAAAGCGGCATCTTTAATATTGGTAACTGGATTATGGTTTGAATCAAGAAGTTGAATAGATTTTTTGTGTAAATTATATTCACGAAAGAGTTCAAGTGGATTTTGTGTATCTGATTCCATCTTAATTGTTGTTTTTTAACAATTATTATTAAGGTCTATGAAATTATGATTATTTAATTTTATTATTTGTTAAAGATTATTTTTTAAAATTTATTACGTCATGTAAATTTCTAAATTAAGAAAACACTACGTACAAATTTTCTAAATTTATTTATTTTTTTCAAATAACCTAATTCATATCTTCTCTTGTGGACGAGCAATAATAGCTTTGCCTTTATTCCAATCAACTAAAATAGGTCGTTGTAATTTTGGTTGAAAATTTCAAATAATTCTTGTGCTGCACTATATCCTTTGGAGATTCAGCAGTATTATTAGTAGCAATGGCAGGTGTATATTGACGCTTTCACTTGCAACATCATCACCATCATCGTTTCTTAGAACCATTATTGTCTTTTATACCTAAATAATCAACAATGGATTGAAGTTGGTCGTTTGTTAAAGGTTGTTTTTGATAATCCATCAAGTTTAAAAATATCAGGTTCTTTCTTAAGTGCTTCATCCAATATTTGTAAAGCTTTATTTGGATTATATATTTAATATGACCGTTTAACCCAAAATTCTTTCTTCAAATGAATCCATTAAAATATCGCAATCACCCTTTTTGTAAAATAACCCAAACCCACTCTCTGCAGGTATGACACAACAAGAAGTCAGAAATGAGAAATGGGGGCTCTGATTTTATTAAATTGCATTAGGTTTCTTTTATTTTATAGAGAGACTATTAAATCTTCAGGCACACGTCACGGAAGAGGATCTCTGGCCTTAAGAAGAAAAGGCCACGAAATAAACGAGTAATTTATTCTCTGTGGCAATAATAATTTATTTAATATCATGATGTTTGTTTCATTTTAACACTCCCATCCCAATTTCCTCTCATGTGTTTGAAACAAATAAATCATTCTTTACATAGCAGGCAAGATAATAAAATAGCAAGATCGAGAAGAATCCATTGAAAGTCTTCAAGAAAAAAATCATTATTATGGATTATGGGTAGTGGTCATTGAACTTGTCCATATCATTCTAGCCTCTTGACTCAAAATACAAATAAACCCTCTAATTTCGATCAGAAGTAGGCCGCCAGAGATCCTACTATGAAGATAACATTTTGTAATTATGATTTATCTATAGTGAAAAATCCAACAGAGACATCAATATCAATACTATAATTAATCATATGGAAAACAGAAGATATGCTGATGTGGGTGTATCTTGTTCACTTCTAAAGCTACTTTAAAAAAAAGGGTTTTCATGAAATTAATTTCTCCTTAACGAAATGACCAAAAGAGTGCTCCACAGAGAAGCCATGCTACTAAAAATTCACTACATTAAAATTTCAATCTTACAACTCTATTGTGCATCACTCATCAAAACAACTGGTTTTTTTTTTGTTGTCATCCTACATTTTAGAAAGATAATTCACAAAATACATCTAAGATATTTCACTATGCTATTCCTTGGGCTCATTAAAAAATTATAAAGATAATAATGATTACAATTATTGTTACAAACAAGCAAAGACGGTTACAATCATTTCTACTTTGAATAAATGATCATTTTAGTTACTCTGATAAAGCTAACATAGTAATTTGAAAAATACATATGTAAACTCGATAAGTCGGTCATGTTGGTGTGACTGACTTATCGAGAGAACCGAGTTATCGAATTTTTTAATTTTTCAAACATTAGAAGGTTGCGAAATCAACTTTTTAACATATTTCTGAACATAATAAAATTTAATAGAAATACAAATGTATTTCTTCACATCAAATGATATAACTGATGATATAAAAATATATTGTTCACAATTAGACAAGAATGTTCTCTAAATGATACAATCAATGATATGACTGATGAAATAATAATAGAATATTAATGCATACCAGTGCCAGTATTGTTCCACTTTTAGATTTTGGAAAATAAAAAGGCCATTGAGTTCAATAGAAAGAAAAATAAGATATTCATTAAATATCGATTATTGATTTTTTTAAACTACATATTTACTCGGCAAAATCAGGGGACAAATGTTCCAGGCCCGAAAACTATAGATAGGTCTGTAGCACACACTGTGATTGACTAGTCGGTAAAATTTGATGGCCTAAAATCAATGTTATGGTTTTCAGGGTTCTATCTACTATTACTATGACATTTTTGACTTGAGTAAAATTTTTGGCATATCAGTTAACAAATATATTTAGTGTGAATCAATGGGATGTAATAAAAATATGAAAACTGGTTTTGAATAAATAATATATATAATAAATAAGAAAATACATAACTGATAATAAATTGATGAATAAAATGAATGTATGATAAAATAAATAAATTATTAACTGAAGGTTCCCAAAAAATTCCCAATGATGATGATAATAAAAAAAAACCATAAAATTTGAAATAAATAAAATCTCCAAAGAAATTAATAATAATGATTCTCTAATTCATTGATAAGGATCTATAGATAAATCTTTTAAAAGTGCTAAGGCTTTATAGTGCTTTTGAATGGCTGCTAATTTTATATAATATAAACCCTTTTCCTTGTCTTGACTTACTCCATGTTTACCATAATAATACAATGATCCTAATAAATATCGTGCTGATGAATTCTTATTATCAGCTGCTAAAGTAAAATAACGTATTATTTGCTCTAATGTATCAGGATCTGGTCCATCTTTCGAGTCTTTTGAGTCATCAAGTAGTATATGTGCATATCGAAGTTGCGCATCTGGTACACCTTCTTCAGCTGCTTCTCGAAAATATTCTGTTGCTTTTTTCTTGTCCTTTTCCAAGCCTGCATAGCCTTCCAACAAATAATATCCATACCAAAATTTTGCTGTTTTATTATGAAGTTTCTCATGCTCAATAAAGATTTTTAAGGCTTCTTTCTTGTTTCCTTTTTTATGTTGAGCAATACCTACTAACATTGTAGGTATATTTTGAATTTTTGAGGGTTGTTTTGTTTCTGGAGTATTTCCTTTTATCATTGATGTTTTTGATAGAATTGATTTTATTGAAGATGATGAGGATGGTGGAGTTTTTGAATCTAAATTAAAACCTTCAATTTGATCCGCTTTACTGGGTGAAGGTGTTCTTTTAAGGGCTTTTTCAGCTTCACTACGATGCCTTAACCATGACAAATCTCCAATTTTAGTTTTTTCTTTTGTAATAAGATTATTCAAGTCGAGTACAATTTTTTGAAATGTTGGTCTACAAGCAGAATCTCCACTCCATGCTATATATAAATATTATATATATAATATTTTTATATAAAAATATTAATCTTAATATATATATGTGCGTGTGTCTTTCTTTTTAATTACCTTCTTTCATAATTCTCAAATATTCATCTTGTGATTCTTTAACTTCATGTCCTTGCGATTTAAAATCAATCGTTTCTCTACCATTATTTGTCACGTGTTTTTTAATTTTATCTATAGACCATTTTTCGTATGGTATTTTTTCAAATGCTAATTCCCACATAAGCATTCCAAAACTACAATATAAAATATATAAACATATTATTATCATTATCATTATTATTAGTTTGATCATTGCTAATTACCTAAAAATTTCACATTGTTTTGTATATCGATTTCTTTGATCCTTCAATTTTTCCGGTGCCATCCAATGTACAATATTTAACAATAATGTTTCATTCAATTTAGTGCTTAAAGCAACTTGATCATCTCTACGAGATAGTTTGAAATTTGTAATCTTAGGACTGTAATATTCATTCAGCTGTTTATTAAAAGTATTTCACTATTATTATTTTATATAATGAGAAAAAATAAACAAATTTTGTCTTTAAAAATCTTAAAATTACTAAAATGTTTTCGCATCTAATATCATGATGAAGATAGTCTACTGCATGTAAAAAAGTAATTCCTCGACAAATATCAAGAACGATTTCCAGTTTTTTTGTCCATTTTATTTCATTATCCAAATAAAACTCCTTCAAATTTCCATATTTTGCCCATTCCATCACCATCATTTTACTTCCATTTACTGTTGAAATTCCATAAAATTTTATGGTATAATTACATTCTTTACTAATTTTCTTTAGGAATGCAATATAACGTGGAAATCCCTTTTGCTTCTCCTCTAAAAATTTATCACTTTTACACGCAACATAAATTCCATAATGTTTATAATATTTCTTTAAAACTCTTCCTCTAGTATCATCATTTCCTTTTGGATCTTCTAATACAATGTCTTCAATCTTTGGCACACAAACATCTTCGTCATCAATATCATTCTGTTCTGTATGTTTAGCATGAGTACTTTCATCGATTTTATCTAATAAATCTTGCCACATTAAAGAAATCTGTTCTAAAACAATATTGATCTTTTTTTTATTGTCAGTAACACCTGCTTCTATAACTTGTAAAAACTACCATTAAAAAATCAAAACAATTTATTAAAATATATTACACGCATATTTTATTTGTCATTAATTATATTTATTTATTTATTTACCTGTAACATTTCTTCAATATCATCATCTAAATCAGACAAATCTTTTTTACGTTGCTCTTCATCAGCAACACATTTAGTAAAATGTAAATCAATGATATTTTGATCATATTCTTTAATTAATTCATTAAATCTTTTTTTGACAGATCCAGCATCTGTAAATTTTCGTAATCCACTAAGTTTTGACACATCACGTACAAAATTTTTAATATCTTCTAAATTTTGAACTAAACGATAAAATGCTTTGAAGTATGCATCGTCACGAAAATTTTTTTCATTTTCTTCTCTTCTTCTTACTAGTATTTTAACACTAAATTCTACTGCTTGTATTCTGTCAATTAGATTTTTACATGTTTTCTTATTATATTCAATATTTTCAAGAATTTTTAATGTTTCTTCTGTAATAACAGCTACTAAATTTATCAAATTTATATAGGGCGAAAATGCTATGGTTTTATAAAAAAAATATTAATGTTGAATCTTTTTTTTTTAGAATTTTATTTTCTTTTCTTTTTCTTGATAAATTAATTTCTAACTAACCTTCACTCACATCTCCAATCCCTTTTAATATATCAGGTGTCCTGCTATTTGTTCCTAATAAACCATTTAACCTCCCTTCATCAGTTGTTGCTCTAATCGCTGAACTAGCATTTTTAAACATTTTTTTTTTTAACGTAAAGAACTGGGAGAGTTGTCATAACCATTAATCATAAGACCGAGATATAAATCAAAATCCCGATTTAGTAAAGATATTACGTAATAATTAGGACTTCAAAGACCGGAGTCTTCTCGATCTTCGGTTCTAATAAAAGACCAATTTCAAAAATTTTCACAAATCGAAGCTTATTGTTAAAGTACGTTGTTTATTATGTACATAATACTTCATTAGAGGACCACTTCCCCGACTAAATCTATTATCGTATCTCGTCGACTTTGTCGATTCTTATAGTCTGGTCAATTTTGTCGACTCTAGCTAGTACTACGTAAAATAATCTGTAAAACTAAAAATGTAACTAAATATTAATAATAAACATTTAATCTAAAAGATGTGCTGCGAAATTCGCTTTCAAAATCGAAATAAATCAAACATTCATTATAAATGACAACTCGAAATCTTTATTTGCCAGATTCAAAAAGGTCTCCAAACGTGAAATGATGTAATTTTAATAAAGGCACCTACATTCATTCAAAATTCGAATTGTTTTTTCCTATTACTATTGAATTTCGATTTTAGTCGAGAGTTTTAGGATTGATTCAAAATGTGAGGCAAAAGAAATAAAATAAAATAACCTTTTAAATTAATTCCGTCCAAACACAATTCAAATTCATCTTTTGCCAATAATTCAACGAATGATTTAAAAATATGCGAGTTAAATAGTCACAGTTTTATGTTTAAAGTCATGGATACAAATAAAATTATTAACCGATTTTTCGGTTATCTGAAAAAAATCCGGTCTTTGGAGTCGAACCGAACCAATACAACTTACTTACTAGGATTACCCATGCTTATTAAAAAACATCTTACTATTACGTTAACTTTATGAGTTGGGAATAATTTATTTTTCGAGTTTTATTTCTGCGTTATCAAAAAAATTTTGTTAGCCTTTGTGATATATTTATTAAAATAAAAAGGAAAAGGACTCAATATTCGGTTAATTGATTTAATTTGATTTTTGTAGTCTTGTGTGCTAAATCAGATGCTACTTTGAGTGATCTTTAAAACTCTTTAAATTCAATAAATTATAATGGTCCAATTGCTCACTTACTATGTACGATGTTATGAGAGATCTGATATTAATTATTAAAGTAGGTTCTTTGTTAACTCTGAAATTTTTAACATAATTAATTAAACGTATTGGTTAAATTTGACGAATTCACGAATAAAAAATAAGAGTAAAAATGAACGCAAAGATTCCAGTGGGATTTGCCAATGGCAATCTGCAATGACGCGATCGTGATCAATTTAATATTAATAAACACCTTTGTTAATATTAAGATTAGATAGAACCTTGTCCGTGATTATATCCCACAAGTAGTGCCAAATGGTATCTGTGATTTGATTTTTACAATGTAAATAAAGATATGCATAAGCATGTAACAATAATACACTAGTTATATCAGAAAAAAGGAAAGATGAGAGATGTATATTAGTTATCTCATAATTATTAATACACTTATGCTAATTAGTAAATCACAATTACTATGTAAAAGGGTTATCATGTTTCCTCATACCCTTGAGGTAATAGTATCGAAAAAGAATTCTGGTATTTTGTGTATACACTATTTTTGTACTAATAATATCTATTGTGATTAAAATAAGAAAATATTCAAAAATTTATATGAAATACGTTCTTGAGCGTTAACCGTTGATGTTAAATTTTTTTTATTTTTTTTATAATTATTAATCAATTAAATAATAATAAAACATAATATATATAATTTTTATCGCGTGTTCAAAACTTAAAGAACCCAAAGATATATCTAATATTCTATAATAATAATAATAGCAGCAATGGTAGTAGCAATAGCAGCAGCAGTGGCAACGATAATATTATCAATTTTTCTAATACTTAATTTCTATATCTCCTTCAGCCGGGGCATCCAAATCAACATATGATTTAACTTGACGAGGATCAGCACTAATAACAATAGCACAATTCGATTTAATTTATGTCCATATATAAAACTTACTATCATTTCAATAATCTTACCTTTGTTTACCAAGATTCGTTTGTCTTCTTTTATCATTAATTCTTTGTCCTCTTTGACCATTACCATCTTTGATTTCAAACCCAATCCTTGGAATTTGATCATGCGGAGTTCCAGCTGCTGCCCCAACAATTGTTGGAAAACTGAACCCCATAAAAGGTGGTGGTGGTGCATTAGTCATTACAGGAAACGGATTAGGTGGAATTGGTGTAACATTCTGAGGGACATTAAGCGTTGCTGTTGGATTAGGTGGCGTGGTCGGAAGTAAATGATTGGGATCAAGCACATAATTATTATAAAACTTAATCTAATAAAAATATTATGGTAATTTTTATTAATAATTATTAGGTAAAATAGTAATAAATGGTGATTTTATAATTACCTCGTTTGTAGTAACGTCAATTTTTGCGTTGTGCTTATAATCAATATGCTTTTTAACAAAATCAGCTCCCTTGAATAACTTGGAACACAAATTACATTTAAACTTACGGCCAGGGTCAACCTCAATCACATTTTCTTGATAAAATTTATCAAGAACTCTATCAAATGAAAATAAAACCAATCGTTATTTTTTATAAATGATAATAAATGATAATGTTGATGATAATATTTAATTTGTAAGTTATTAACATACTGTTGAATACTTTGTCCGCCTTGTTTTTCAACTTCTTCCTCAAATTTCCAAGGTTCAGTTTTATAAGCAATCTTATTTTCCAAAGTCTTCTGCCATTGAGTTGCTTCAAAATAAAATGCAATGTAATAGAATAATAAAACGATCAATTTTATCCATGTATCAGGCAGAACAAGCGGCATATATGTATTATGATGGCAACATACCATTAACTTGTTTATCCTTGGTATTTTTGGAAGGATTTTTTGTATCTGTTCCAACTAAACTTCTCAAATGACGGCCAGGACACTTTCGTGAAAGTTCTTCAATGGAATCAGATTCACTTCCACAATAATAACAAAATAGATGAACACGTCTTAAATATTCAATATACATATCTAACGTTTTTTTAACCTGAAAATATTTATTTATAATAAATAAATAATTTATTAATACTTCTAATATATATACACACCCACAAATAGAAGCATCAAATAACCTACTGTATTGATTTCTTCTGGGTCTTCGTTTTTGAGAAAAACACCAATTCTTTGCTTGATCAATTTACTTCCATCAAATGTATTAGAATCTACATCATTATCAAGTTTTTCAATGAGTTTTTGTGCTGAAATTAAATCTTTTTTTAACCTTTCTGGTGTATTAGCAATTTCGGGTGTAATCCGATTACGAACTGGCCCGCTTTGATTCTTATGCCGAGCAAGATAAAAAACGAATTCATCAATCTATATTTATATATAAAATATATATAAAATATAATTAAATATAATATAAATTAATAATAAATATAATTTTAATGGATAAAAACTGTACAATAAATGCATATTTATTTGTTTACTTTTTTTTCATTAAGTTTTTCATACGCACTATCCATGTCTGTATCCTCTTCAAAAACAATCCATCCAAGACGGTGAAATTTTTTTTGAGGGTTAGGCTCAGAAAGTGCAAGATATTTAAATCCAGGAATTTCCTTACACATCTTTTTAATTAAATTTAAAATACATAATTTAATTAATTGGAATTAAAATTAAATAAAAAAAAATAATTAAATAAATACTTCTTCAATTTTCTGTCTTGGAATATTTGGCGAGACACTTTTTATAAAAAGTCTGTGAGAATCTTCATTAGATTCGATTTTAATATCTAGCTTGGCATCATTATCTATTATTGAATGAAAGAGTAATTATAATTTAGATAAATAGAAAAAAGAAATATTTATATAAGTGTGAAGAATAATAATTACCCTCTTGTTTAATAGCGACGGCAGTAGTGGCTGCAGTAGTGGCAGTAGCTGCAGTAGTTGCGGTAGCGGTAGTAGCAGTGGCAGTATTTGTAATTGTAGTATCCTCTTTTTCCTCAACGACATCATTACTAATACTATCAAGTAATCCTTCCTTTAGATCAGAAATAAATTGTTCGTACTGCTTCTTTTTCAATTCTTTCGTAATAGCTATCCTGGGCTCCATATATTTAGGATGATATTTCTCAAGAAACCATTCTTCTTTCTGATGTGCTTCAAAAAATGTTTTTAACTGCTTGACAGCAAATGCTTCTTTGTATTCATTGTATTTCTTGTGTAGTTCTTCATCACCAGGTCTGGATTTTGGATTGGTATACTGCATAAAATCTGAAAAATATTTAAATGTAACCAGAAAGTCTAGTTGATCCGGATCTTTTAAAGGTTCTTGCCTATTTATTAAATGCGATTTTGTTTATTTATGACTAATAAGTTATTATTTTTTTAAAAAAAAAAATATATAAATAATATATATTTCATTATTACCTTCCGGTTGGACCTGCCCAATCCATTGGCATAATAGGTGCCCCAGGAGGAAGCATTTGTGGATTTGGGACATTAAATCCTATAAACAAATTTAGATATTATAATTATTTTGAAAATTTTTAAAAAATAATACAGAGTAATCAGTTAATTGTATACCCATTTGCATGACAGGATACCCAGGTGGGGCAAATCGTACTTCTGAAGCTCTACCATGATATCTGGGGGCTGGTGTATAACCATCTTTATCATAATTTGGTACATAATGATCCCCTCCATCAGGTAGTGGTCTTCGTTGATCAGGAGTAATGGAGCGACGTCTTTTAGGTCTACGATCTAAATAAAAATGCATCAATTAATTAATTAATGAAAAATCAATTTTAAAATATAGTACAGAAGAATTAAAATATAAACTCTGTACCGTTTAATGGTGAATCATAGTTACCTCTGTCTTCTGGTGAAGAATTGTTTTCTCTTTTACGTCTATCGACGTATAGTGCTCTTTCCCTATCACGCTCCCTATCACGTTCCCGATCCCTGTCTCTGTCACGTTCTCTATCTCTATCACGTTCCCGATCTCTATCTCTTTCACGAAGATCACGATCACGAACGTCTCTACGATCAATACTATTTCTCCGTTCTCTTGTAAATTTGTCACGACTATGGTGTGGACCTTCATCATCAGAATGATCAATTCGTCGTTTGGAATTCATCTTTTATTAAAAAGAATTTGTAATAGTGATGGTGGTATTAGTGGTAGCGGTATATAAATATAATGGATGAGAGAATGTGTTGTTGAAGTGGTTGTTGTAGAAATAGTTGTATTTGCGTGTAATAATAAAATGGTTTGACTTCTATCGGTTAAAAGTGCGGAAGGATTTATTTGTTGTAGAACAAGGTTGTCTATTCTACATAAAAAAAAATAATTATAACGAATCCAAAAGTCAAAAAAAATTTTTTTTGAAAATTTGTGAGAAAACATGCTTTTTTCTCATCTTGATATGTTTATCTTGAAGGTATTGATTGTTGATATAATATATATATAAATATATATATAATATGATTTTGTAATAAGAATGAAAAGTTTATGTGAAAAGAATGGGATGGATTAAACAATTAATTTTGAAATTAAAATTGAAATTAATACCAAGGTTCTTATATAGTTTTTAACTAAGAGAGAGTAAATAAGTAATAAATATAGAACTTTAAGAATTCTTTAAATGTGAAAAGAACGCAAAAAAGTTTTTTTGACAAGTACAGTTTTTTTTCATAATTTTTTTGCTAAATTATTTAAAATATTTAAAAAGATGATTAAAGGCAACAAAATAAACGACAAAGGACTTTTTAATAAAATTAAGTTTTCAAATGTTTGTTACTAGAATGTTATTAAATCTTGTGCTTGTTGCTAATGCAGCTTGACTCACTCACCAGATCTGTTCAAAGTCAAATAAGTCTACTTTTTCTTTTTTACTTTCATTTCTGTGTTATTTATATATATGGTAATACCTTGTTGACGTCGTTGATCAATTGCGTGTAACATGACGATTTGGACAGGGAGGGTCACGGACAATTATAGACGGGGCGTGCTGCAGTGGATATAATGTCACATAATAATATGCAAATTCTTAGATTTGTTTAATATTAACATCTCTTTTTTCCATGTCCTTTTAAAAGAATAATGGGGGTAATCAAGTCAAAAGGTATAGGATTAAGCAAGTCTGAAGTTGTTTTCACATTTCCCTCTTTTTTTCTTTCTATGCTGTTTTTTTTTTTGAGATTTCTTATTTTTTCAGCAATTCTTTTATATTCTGAAGCTCATTTTTTCTTAGCATCAGAAATATTAACACATGAATCCTTGTCTTGGAATTATGGTATAATATAAATTTGAAACTCTGAAAACCTCCTTGTTCAATACCAGTCATTTTGCCTAAGGAAATGCAAACCCGAAAACTTTAGGGGTTAAAGTTTCCATTTTCTTGCTACATTCTTGGAAAGCTTCTCCAAATTGTGCACATACTTCTTTATCCATTTGGTTAATATCATCATTAGATAGAATTTCTTGCTGTTGATAATTGTGTTGCCCTTTCCTAAAGCCTGTCCAATACTAGCTAATTTAGCCATGACATTACTTCATTCTCCAATAATCCCTTCTTTGTTAGCTTTTCGGACTTCTTCTGCCTCTTCATATTCTTTGAGCATGGGTACTAAATGTTGATGTTTTACACAATAATTGCCATAACTCTTTTAATATTTAAGGGTAATGTATAAATGGTAATGAATAACACTTTGTTCATATCAGGGTTTATCAATTGTAGTAATAGTAATAAGAGCAAATCCTACTGGGTGATAGATATTTTTTGGATTCTATTGATGCTATCTTTAATAGCTGAGAGAACCTTTTTCATTCTTCTTCTGTTAGTTGAAATGCATTTGTACAAGGTTTCTTGGTAATTACTAATAAATGACCCTTGGAATTTGGGTGCTGGCTTGTAATTGAGAAAATTTTCACATTTTCCCAAACAAAATTACCTGGATGCTCAGTAGTCATTTTGCAAAAAGAACAATTTTTTTCATGTTCTGCTATAATATCAATTCTTTATCTGTCTCAAGAAATAAATATACCTGACAAAATATGATTATTTAGGGCAACAAAACCAAGTGAACATTTATATTACAAAAGACTTCAGGGTTCTAAATTCAGTATGGGAGTGCCCAAATGGTACAGTTGAACCTTGTTACAACAAATTTTGAAAAAAAAATTTTTATAGTTGGCTTGGCCTAAATTTTCAGCAAATTTTAAAAGTATGGAAGTCATTTTCTGTCCCTCCTTTTAAAAAAATAGCTCTATTAGTTGATAGAATAGGTATTTAGGTTTAATGCAATAAAGAGATTTTCTCAAAAAAATTATTTGTTGTAGAGTTCTATTCTTTTTTAAAACATGTACTTTACTATGCTCATGAG